TACCTTAGCTGGGGCCAGTAGCTCTTCCTCTGTTTCTGTCCTTCCGGGCATTTTGGTCAGCAGAGCTGGATGCTCTGATGCTGTTTCATTTAAAATACACGAGCCTGCTTCATCCACCTCCTTCTGCCAGTGCTTCACTTAGGGCTTGGCACAAGAGTGCCTTGGGATTTAAATGGGTTTCAGATGTCCCTGTTAACTCTTATTTCTCCTTAATATTTATTGGTCTATGGTGAAACATGGCTGTTATAGTAGAGGTACCAAATTTTAGTGTTTTTTTTTTATAACACCAATAGGGAGGAGGGTTCTGTATAAATAATTGCATCAAACCCAGTGTACCGTTTGTCTGAAGCAAAAATAAAAGGTAAGTAATGTTCTTTTCACCTTCTTTCTCCTTTTTCTCTCTCCTTCCCAAATTCCCTGCATTATTGCAACTTGAATTCTCACATAAGAGTTGAGCATGGATGAATGGTCATATAAATGGTTTCACAAAGCTAATTTGTGTCCTAAATCGAGTTGTTACCCTATGCTGGTCTGGACAGTAAATGTGGAAGAATGTGATTGCTCCAGAAATTTCAGTGCTGCCTTGCAGAGGGAATGCCTTTCCAGGCAGAGAAATGTGCCTGTGCTCAGTCTATGATACTTGGTGTGCAGTAGGGAGAGCTGAGGTTATTTCTCAGCTTTTCATGAGCCCTCCTACCTAGCCTGGTGTACTCCATCTGACCTTCCTGTGGAGCTTACCTTGACGCTGATGTGCTTCCACTGGATGTCACTGTTGCTCTTTGGGAACACATTTAAAGTATTTTACCTGTGGTGAAAATGACTCCTCAAAATAGGCTTTTAAAGGTATTTCTCTTTTCTTTGGATTAGTAGAATTGGGGTCCAGATGAACTGCATATGCCCCCTTTGAGGGTTTTCTACTCCTCTGTTTTTAAAGGAATTTTTTCAGCTAAGACAATGAATTTGATCACAATAGGGAGTTTTAATACATTGAAGGTCTGTGTTGAATTGAACTCATTGGATGTATGTGTTGTTTGAGGCATGTGCTGTCTTTCTAGATACTTGAAAATTAATTATTGGCAACATCATACTTGTCTTAAAAAATAAACCCCACCAAAACACAAAACCCTCAAAAGAGTAAATACACTGCAATAATTAATTGAATAGGTCTTAAAGGTAGAGCTGAACCGATCCCCTTCACACCACTCAATTCTTCCCATCCAGTGGAGAGAGGTGAGGAAAATGGAAAAGAAATATTTCCTCTGGACTGAATTATAAGAATCCTACATTTTATTAGGAGGTGTAAAACTGAGGTGGGTGGTTATGGTTATTGTATTGGTATTTTTTCTAAGGATCACTATTTAAGAAGCAAAATGGCATTTTTTTTAGTTGTCTCATGCAGTTTGCTACAGATGCACATGTGTTTTTTAGCTCCTACCTGCTCCCCAACCCCTGATCAGCACTGTAATTGCTGGCCAGGATGCTGTTTAGCCAGAACACTGTTCATAAGAGGCTCAGTAAGAGACCTCTGGAATGAAGGCTGATTAATTTTCCCCTTCCCCCAAGTAGTTGCCTTGTGCTGTCTTTAAGTGGTTGCTATAAATAAATCACTTCTGTTTTCCCTTTGTCACTGAGAGCTGTATTGTATTCTGAAACTGCTCATCTCTTCTTCCTTTAATGTTCAGCTGCTCCTTGCTCTACTCCCAGTGTTTAATACACAGATGTTGTAATAAGATATTTAATGGCAAAGACATTTGTTTGTTTGTGCCAAATAAATTGCACACTTGAACTCTGACTGCAATGAATTAAACCTCTGCAGCAGTGCCATTGTTTCTGTGCCTGTCCCCAGGATTCAGCTGGCACTTTACCCACAGGTGAGTCAGAAGAGAGCATGGCTGTCTCTGCCTGTAATCGTGATGCTCATTGCTACTGAGACTGACACAATTTTGTATTTTTGCAGTGTTTTTCTAAATCTGTTAGAATTTAAATTCCTGGTGACTGGCTCAGATGATATAAATTGTCATTAGAAAGGTTCCTGGAGTCTCTCTAAGGCTGTCGGTTTCTAAGGGTTTTTTTGTTCATTCTTGGGAACAGCAGCTGATTTAGTCTGCTTTTACAAAATTTGAAAATGTTTCAGTCTTGAGGCAATTTGGTTCTTCCTCAGCTGGGTGCACACTTCCTGGAACCAAATAGTCAAAGACCTTGGTCAGCTGGAAGCCTCCTTTTTGGAAGTCACTGCTGTGACCCACTGTGACAATGTTTATTTGCTGGCTGGCTGTGTCCCTGGTTTAGAGGCACTAATTCATAACCTCACTGCTGAAGGCTGTAGCTATGGGATATCTTGATGATGGGCACTAAGGAGCCCTCCAAGCAGTTTGAAATGGGACAGTATGCCATATTGTCATGTTTCTGTTTTTAAATGTAGATATTCTTCTGTTCTTGGAGCTGTTGCCTTCAGGAGCCCCCATGGCCTTACTGGAGGTGGCTTTTCGTGGGGGTGGTACGTAGCCTGTGAGGTGAGCAGCAGATCATGGCATCTGACAGCTCTGGCTTCAACTTGACATGATGAGGGACCACCTCACCCCTAAAGCATCAGTGTGGGAACATCTTGGCAGTATTGCCTTTGCCAAATTCTTAAACTTTGTGAACTGTAGCAAAGAGAATATAGACTCAGAGTTCAACCCTGAAGCTTTTTATGAAAAGCTGTCTGACATATGCTATAAAGATAGATTGAGAAAATCTGTTGGTACAGTCATTTTTCTGCTCTGTGAGTCAGCTTGTTCTAATGGGTTTTGAAGAGGATAGCTCATCATCATTTGGGGTTTTTAAGTGCAGGTTGTATGCAGTGTTAGCTCACTAAAATTTCTTCTGTGCCATGATTGACTGGCCTGAAGTTACATCATCAGCATAAGCTAGTCAGCCTTAAAATAGAAATTTTTTTTTTATGCTAGTTACCCATTGAAAAGCAGTGGTTTGTGGTTTTTGTTTGTTTTCACTTTTAAATTTAAGCAGCAAATAGCAGGTTTTTAAGACTGGATTGATCTCATCTCTGCAAGAACATATTTTAGTTGATTAAATCAATGCATCGGTGAGCAATGGGTGGCTCTTGGGCTTCCTGCAGCACAGGAGCAGCTGGAGTGTGGCTGCCATGCTGAGGCAGTGCTGTGTGACCTGGAGTGTGGGTGGTGTTGGCCAGGGGCCTGGAGATAATCCAAATTATTCAAGCAGGTGGGAGGAAGGAAATTAGCAGAGGCTGCTGTGGCTGGTACCACCTGATACCTGTCTGCATCCCAGGCCTGTGGTGGAGCCCAGTGATCCCTGGGAAGCAGCTGTCATTTAAAGCTTCCCCTTCTTTCCTGCTCCTTATGCCAAACTGGCCACGTGAGGCTTGGCTGTAGGAGGATGGTTTGGTGGGCAGGGTCTGGAAGAATGGTCAGCTCCTACCAGCAGTTGGTGGCCAGCAGCAAGGCCTTCTCCTGGCAAAGCTGCTACTGCTGCAGCCTCTTATTTCTTTTTGTCTTGCTCACCTCCTCCAGTGTCCACCTTCCCTAAGTGCTCACATTTCTGTTCCTTGTGCTACTTATTGCATATTTTGCCTGTGCATTGAGATGGAGCTCAGCATTGGGAGCTTTTCTGTGGCCTCAGCATTGGCTCCCAGCAGCACAAGTGTTTTTATGTCTATTTTAAAAATATATAAATTTTTTGTATGTGTGCATATATCTTCATGATGAACAGTTTGGTGGTTAAAGTTATGAGCTGGTCTTGTTGCACATCTGCAGACATCTGGCATCAAATACAGAGTGGAGCAGGTAAATCTGTAGTACTGTGCTGGGGAGAAATGAATTCCTGCTGTTGCATAGGAGAGAAGAGACAGGCAAATCTACATTTTTACTTAGAAAAAGTACATATGGAAGAACTTCTGGGGACTGTTTTTCAATCTGTCAGAATTCCTTTCTGCTTTGTTGATTTGTAAACTTTGTGTGAGTATTAAGTACATGGGATGGAGCTGCATCAGGCATTGGGCCATGGATAAGTGTGTTTTGAAAGCTGTGATCTTGGCTTTCAATTCATATTTTGTCCATTAGTGTAAATTGAGAAACTGAAGTCTGCAGTTGCTTAACCAGTTGGCTACCTCCTCTAGTTAAGCTTCTCTGAACTGCTTCTACTGGCAAAAATGCAGATAAACAATGCAAATAGTGTTTGTTCTACAAGAAAGATACCATTTTGAAAGAAAAGGAAAGAAGAATGGGTTCTTTAGTAGAGATCTATTTGTGTTTTTCAAACTTAATTTATTCTGAATGAAATATTCAAGCTTGCATAACTACAACAGTTGAAACTTCAAAGTAAACTTGTTCTTAATCTTGTTGAGGAGGAAAACCAGTTCAAGATATAAACAAAATAAAAATTACTAAATCAAAACAGTTCCAATGCATATTGGGACATCTTGCTTCTGCTGAACTTAATTATAGTACAATGTTTTTGCCTTCTTTCAACTACCAAGCATGGAGAGAGGCTTTAACTTTACTGTTGGAGTGAAATAATCAGACTCCTCTGGGGTAGCTTACTTAATTCCTTTCATTGGGATGTAGTGCTTCCCTAAGCAGCTCCAGTGAGTCTTCACTTACCTGTAGTCTGTGCTTGTGTGCCACAAAAGCACACCGAAGTTCTTTGTACATTGAAAACTTGAACCTTGCAGGATTGCTTCAAGATTTTAATCTAAGGTTTGCCTTTCCTGGTGGTGGTTTAAAAACAAACAAAAGCACACACAAAAAATCCCCGAGAAAACAGCAAAACCACTTTCCACCTGGAGCAGGCAGACAAGTCAGCAGAAGCTTTTCCTTTTCCAGCTGTGACAAGAACAATTCCTTTCCTCCTTTGCCTGTTTTTAATAGCATAGACTGTCCCAGCATAAACTGTCCTTTACTGTTTACCCTCCATGGAACAGAAATCCCTGTGCAGTTGTTTGCATCACAATAGCAGATCCTGTCTGTTTATTTTTCCAGCAGTCAGAAATGGATTGTGGCATTCATCATAAAAAAACAAAAACTCAGGATTCTAGTAGGACCCAGGAGCAGCAAGAGGAGGAGACCAGTCTTGCAAATACCCTGGAGCATATTATAGGACAGCTGGATGTTCTAACTCAGGTATGGTTTGCTTTTTAATTTGTTATTGACAAAGGTACCTGTGACTGGAAGAATTGGGAATGTTTTGCAACAATTTAATAGAATAATAATATGGCTGGTTCAAAACTTCTTTTTAGTAGCATTTTGATAAGTCTTTCATCACCTGCTTCTCAGCTTATCTCTTTCATTTCCCTCGCACTGGCTTCCACCTTAGGCCTTGCTCTTCCCCAGTTTCTTTGTGCTGCAGTGTAGCAGATGCAGCTGGAGCCAGCTCTGATAGACTGTTCTGTTAGCCAGGGTTTATCTCAGGTGATGCCTGAAGGAGTGGTTGGCAAAATAACTCTGTTTTGGTGAATAATCTCTGTCTTCCCTCCTCCATTACACTGCAGCCTATAGGTGAACTCTGTTCAGATCCTGCTCCTTTCCCCCACCCAGCATTCACCTACACAGTCCAATTTCTGCAGAATCCTCCTCCCATCAACAAGTCTGGGCCCTTCTGTGCCTCGTTGCTGGAACATGCTTTTCACCCATGGCCACAAACAACTAATCCCTTGCTAAAACATTAATGAACAGTTCTTTCTTGGAGTCACTAAGCAATGCTTGAACAGAACCAGCCATGAATGGTGATCATCACAGAGTGTGTTTACTTAATAAAAATTTGGGGATAGAAGTGTTTTTTGATTAACTAAATAACTGCTCCTTGCTCATTGTGGAGAAATACTGTTTCTGATTGTCTGGACCTGAGTTTCTTTGTGTTTTTTTAAGGTATGTGAGAAGCAGGGAGAAAGCATGGCATGGTAAACATTGGAGGTCTCCTGTAGCTGAGACCATGGTGGTAGGATGGAAGAATCTGTTGGGAGGGTTTTCCTGTAAGTTTAAATACTGTTTCTGAGGAAGAACAAGTAGGTCTTCAAAGCTTGGTGTTGAACATACTGATTAGTAGTCTGAGTTAGCTCTCTGTTCTTGAGAGAGTTAACTTGTCACAGTACTTGTCAAAGAGTGTAAGATGATGGGTTGGTGGGCCCATCAGGAGATTGAAGGCTGATTTAGGGATTAAAAACACGCCACAACTACAGGCAGTCTAAAATAGTGTAGGATGAAACCCAAAAGGTATTTAAGTTCACTTGGCAGAAATGCAAAAAAGCACTTTTGCTGTGATCCTTAAAACACTGAACACTGGAGGAGTGGAGGGAAATCTTGTGTGACACTGGGCCTTCATACTTGAGTAAAAAGCAACCCAATGTATACACAAAATATTTTAATACTGTTTTTATGTCTCCCTAGTAAGCTAGGAATGTGATTGTTATCTTTCATTTCATAAATCACATCCACATTTCTGATGATGGATGTGTAATGGCTCCTTTTCAGCTTCATAGGTGTTTAGAGGAGGCAAATATTGCAGTAAACAGTACGTGTGGGATTTAACCTAAATATAAGCAATGCAAATATCTCTGTTGAAGATATTGTGTAACTGTAGAAAATTCTAAATGTTGTTTTAAACCTAGCAGAAAGAGAAATTGAGATCAGTGGGGGAGGAATAAATTAGTAAGTTATGGGATAAAATTGGAAATAGCCCTGAAATAGTAAAAACACAAAAAATTGCCTTGAGTAACTGTGTTCTTCAACCTTTTACCTTTTTTGTGGCATTTTTACCATCTCTGAAGTACTTCATTTCCCATTGGCTCTACTCTGTGTATGTTGTATTAACACCATTTTAATGCATTTGTACAGGTAGATGTCCCTGACGTGCTGTTTTGATGCCAAGGTTTTGATATTTAGCAGTGACACAAACTGACAGCAAACAAACTTTAGCAAATGAGCCTGGAAGAATTCCTCATTCCTGGCAGAAGGCACCTCAGAGAGAAGGGATTTGGTCAGGGAGCAGGGCAGGTGTTCTGAGCTTTAGCTTTTCCAGCTTTGGCTGGCAGGAGAAGGGAGTGCAGCTCCAGCAGAGCCACTGTTAGCCCTCTTCCATGCAGTTGGATGTGCTCAGGTAGGAGCTGTGTGTGCAGAGATCCAGGTGAACTGGAAGCAGTGCCTGGTGGTATGGGATTGGTTGTTATTCCAAGGCATTTCTGCCAAAGCACAAATGGGTGCTGCTCCCTGCAGGCAGCAGATTCAAACCAATGTGTGTGTGTCAGCTTTGGGCCTGCTGACCTCTCTTTGTGACAGGAGGACACCACTGCTTCTTCAAAACAATTGAAAGCTTTAATAAATAACACTTAACAGATGTCACTACTCTTCCTGGAGAAGGGCTGAGGATGCTCCTAGTGCTCTGTTAAAATCATAATTCCTGAGTATTGTGTGTTTAAAGAGAACTCTAAGGGCATAAGCAGGGCCATCCAATTGAAGGAAAAGAACATGTGACATTTCCAGAAGCCCTCTTGATATGGCCATCCATGGGCTTTTTAGGAATTTAATCTGTTAGCTCCATGGGAGTTTGGATTCATTTCTGATGTGGTATCTTGAGTTTCTGTGTTCATTGTTCTTGTTGTAGATGCAACACTGTGTTACCATCATGTAAAGTACCAGTGGGGGAAGGTTGAAGTTGTGATAAACTACTTTGGGAAATTATGCAGATCTAAGCCAAATTTATTTTTCTAATATTTTTTGAAGGTGTCATTTCAAGGTTTAAACCTGGTATCATGTAGAAGTGGGAAGGAGAGAAAATACTTCCAATTTCTGCTGAAAGAGGTGATAGTAAGACATCAGCTGTGGGCTGTCATCTCTTGCCAGCACACAGCTTTGTTCTGAGCTGTACACTTGAAGCTGCATCACCAATGATCAGTCCCTCCCCTGTGCTGGCAATAGATTTCCAGATGAAATGAGGTGTCATGTGCTTGCATTCAGTGAGATTGTTTTTATTCAATTCAGAGATCTCTTCCTGCCCGTCACCAATCGCTGAGGTTGTGGAGGTGTTGTGCCCCACACAGAAGGATGCACTGCTCCTTCAGGTGCCACTTCAGTTCTTATCAGAGAGATGGATCAGAAGAATCCAGTGGCTGTTGTCTATCACAACTAGCAGTAACCATGAGAGTGAATAGAAGCTTTGCTAAGCTTCATTCTTATGTTGTTGATACGATTCAATTATTTAAAGTTTTGGCAACTTTCTTTCAAGTGGTCTTTGATTCGATGAAACCTTTTTTTTCCTCCTCATCCCCAAAGCTCTGTCAGGATAACTTTTGTTTTACTTGTAAGAAAGTGGTCTAATGTGACCTGACAGGGTCCTCATATTTTTTTCTTGAAAGCAGTTTGTGTTTGGCCTTACATGGCTCTTTTTCAGAAGAGTAGCAGATGCTTAATAATTCTGCTGCCTTAAAGAGTGAAGTAGAGACCTGGACATAAGCCAGTTGTTCCCATTAGTTTTGGATTACTTAGATACCCTGGTTTCCCTCTGTAGGAAAGCAGGCAATTCACATCTGGCAAAGGAATGAGGCAGATGAGAGTAATAAATGTATAATACTGATGCTTTGCTCCTCCCTTTCCTGCAGCTTATTCTCTTGTCAGTGTCTCAGTGTTTAAAAGTCCTCTACTGGCATTTCAGAAATGTGAAAAGGATGAAAATGCAAGCTGTTTATCAATTTATTTGTTTTTATTGAAGGCTGAATCTCAGTATCTCAGTGCCTATATGAAGAGTTGGGATGAATATTAAAGTTTAAGGGAAAAGCAAGGTGATTTCTCTCTTGGATAACCTGGCACAGAGGGGTGTGTTTTGGCTGAAATAAAAATGTAGCAGATATCAAAGATTTGCTTGGTTCAGGTGCATTTCTTGCATTTACAGCTGAGCTGCCCTTCTGAAAAAGACCATCTGTGAGTAACTGTCTTGGCTGCAGTGGAAAACTTGTATTTTCAGTGATCTTCTTCAAGCAGTTTAATGTACACTTGTCCTCACTCTAAACACCTCCAGCTGCTGTGTTCACTCTGTTCATCTGTGGGCAGCAGGCACTGAGGAAAAAGCTGCTGGTTTTATGTGGGAAGGAATATGTCTTCTCCAAAGGAAGAGTTCAGAATCAGGTTAGCATAAAAATTCATAAATAGCTGCAATAATCCACCCACAGGAAATGGCTTTATATGCTTCCCCAAACTAATCTTGCATTGAAGCTGGGAGAAAACAACACAGTGAAATGGAGAAGACTTGATAAATCTGTAAAATAATCCAAAGCCTCAATTTGAAGGATAATCTAGATCATGTGAGATTAAAGGATTATTTCACTCCAGAAAAGATTGCAGGCAGAGAAAGAATTTTTCTAAATTTTTAGCTTAAAAAAATACTTGGACACAAGTGAGTTACTTTTTAATTAAAGCTGAAAATGTTTGTGTGTCCAGTGCTTAGTAATGAAAGTGAGTAAAATCAAATTTTTACTCCTTTTTTGAGATGCGGTCTCAAGCCTGTGTTGGTGAGGGATGAATGTGGCCTCTCTTTTGAGAGGCATTGAATGTAAATTAAGCAACTGGTTTAGTAAAATATATGTTTTTATGACTTCAAGTAGTTACAAATCAAGAAGTATTTGGCAGTGGTGGGGGGATCATTTGCTGTGTGCAAATATCTTGGTTTCTGTGTTGCTCTCAAGACCTGAACACCGACGGACCCAATATACAGGAGAAAAACTGCAAGCAATTTTATTCCAAGAGAAATAGTTTGAAATCTGAAACACTAATAAAGCTCTCATCTGAAAATCTATGGAGTGTCAGATGAGCTTGGTTTTTAAATCTGAATTTAAAAGACGTAGAGGCTATTTCTTGTGAGTCAGACCCATCTCTTAGAGATTCAGTAGCTTTGATCTCTCACTCAAAACTAATTAAGTAGCCTGGTTGTTGCCAGTCCTCTGTGTCATTGAGCAGAGCTACTTTTTTTTTGCCCCCTGAAATTTACTTCCAAAATATGCTTGTTATAAAATCTTGATGCAAATACATTTTTCCCCTTTCTAAGCTTGCTTAAATTAAATGCCCTGTGAGGGATATTGCTGTGTTAGCAGGACACTGTCTGAACGTCCACAAGATGTTAGCAGCCATGGCCTCCC